TGATAAGATGGAGACTAGCCCAATTAACAGGTGGGCCTCTTCATTTCTTTATGGATAAAACCAACATTGTGGCTATGTTTGAGATGATAGTCTCCGCAAACAGTGGCGCCATATTATTTTCACAGTATAAAGAAGCCCTAAAAACTCTGGGTCTCTATAATGCAAATGAAGATTTAAAAGATGATGGACATGAAATAACCTTGGAAAAACTCAAGGAAGAAATGAAAAGGAGGTGTAAAGATGGATGGCAAGCGTTTAAATAACACCTAAGAGTCCAAGATAATAAATGATTCTGTAGGGGGCAAAAAAGGACATCATTGCTGATGTCTGTTGGATCTTGCCTGAAAGGGGAGACTACCAGAAAGATGTTTACTTGTATTTTATTGACTATACAAAAGCATTTGACTGCATGAATCTTAACAAATTATGGCTAATGTTGAGAGGGATGGGAATCCAAGAATTTAATTGTGCTCCTGCAAAACCTATGTATAGACCAAGAAGCAGTTGTCCAAACAGAACATGAAAACACTGCATGGTTTAAAATAAAGAAACGTGTACATCAAGGTTGTATCCATTCTCAATACCTTTTCAGTATGTCTGCTAAGCAAATCGTTTAAGAAGTTGGGCTTTATGAAGAAGAATATGACATTGGAATCAAATAAATACTGATTAACAACTTGCTTTATGCAGATTACACAACCTTGTTTGTAGAAAGTGAAGAATACTTGAAGCATCTACAGGAGAAGATCAAAGACTACAGACTGTAATATGGATTGCACCTCAACATCAAGGAAGCACAAATCTTCATCATTGGATCAATATGCAGTATCATGATGTATGGAGAAAAGATTGAAGTTGTCAATGACTTCATTTTGCTTGGATCCACAATCAACAGCCATGGTAGCTGTAGTCAAGAAATCAAAAGATGTGTTGCATCTTTCTTGGGGAAGTCAAAAGATGCAACACATCTTGGGGAAATCTGCTTTCAGTGACTTTTCCTGTGTGCCAAAGAGCAAAGATACTCTTTAAATTTAAAATCAAATTAAGGTTTAAATTAAGGTGCACCTGATCCAAGCCAAGTTCTTTTCAATTGCTTCCTAATCCTTAAGCATCTGAAAGTTGGACAATGACTAAAGACAAAAGAAGAATTGATGTCTTTGAATTGTGGTGTTGGGTAAGAGTATTCATTTCCCATTGACTTACAAAAGAACAGACAGATCTGTCTTGGAGGAAGTACAACTAAAATGTTCCTTAGAGTCAAAGATAGTGAAACTTTGTCTCACATACTTTAGATTTCTTATCAGGAGGGACTAGGCCTTGGAAAAAGACATCATGATGGGAAAAGTAGAGGGTCACAAGAGAGGATGACCCTCAAAGAGATGAGTTGACATAGTGACTATAACAGTGGGCTTGAGCATGTTGGAGATTGTGAAAATGGCACAGGATATGGCAAAATTCTGATCAGTCATTCATAAGGTTGCTATGAGTCCTTATTTTGGTATGTTGTTGTCGTTGTTAGGTGCCTTCAAGTTGAGTATGACTCAGTGACCCTATGAACAACTGATCTGAACTCTGTCTTATCCTGTGCCATCTTCACACTTCCTGACACATTAGAGACTATTGTGGCAGTCACTGTGTCAGTTCACTTGGTTAAAGGTCTTCCTGTCCTTCACGAGCCCTCCTGCTTCCTGAGCATCATGTCCCTTTCCAGGGAATAAATAACTTCTCCTAACAGCATGGCCGAAGTATGTGAAGTGAAGCTATATCATCTTTGCCTCCAAAGAGCACTCTGGCTGTACATTCTCCAAGATATACTTGTTTGTTCTTTTGGCCATCCATGGGATGTTTAGTACTCTTTTCCAATACCAGCTCAAAGGCATCAATTCTTCTTCTGTCATTTGGTGTAGTATTTACTATTTATAACAATTCAGTAGAAATATTCATTGATAGAATGGCATGATTTCTATTTACTGCCATTTGTAGCACTAGCAGTATGACCTGAATTTGGTTTATTTACCTTTGAAAATAAGAATATTGCCATGCTTGCGCTATGTATTGCACTACACTTGATTACATCTGATCTCCCCCACCTTTATAAACCAAAACATACTCAACTCACTGCCATTAAGTTGCTTCTGACATACAGGGACCCGCCATCAGTTTTCAGAGGTAGTAAATCTTAACAGGAGGCAGACTACCAAGCTTTCTTCCACAGAGAGCAGATGGTGGATTTGAACCTCCATAGGGACATGCGGCCTTTTAGATGGCAGCACAACATGCTATGCCACTAGCTTCCTAGAGGAATAATAAATATACCTTGGATGCACAGTGTTCTATCTCAGAAATCTTAGCCTAAATACTGGCCAAAAGAGGGAGACAAGGATAAGAAATATAAGGGGTGTATTAAGAGTTGTTGTTGTTAAGTGCTGTCGAGTTACAGGCAACTCATAGTGACCCTATGAAGGAGAGTCCTCAACGCTTGTGTATCTTTCATCCTCTCTCCAGGTTCATAGGGTTTCCAGAGGCAAGCTATTACGAAAGTGGATGCCACTCCTTCCAAGTTTGTTTTAATTGGGGAGCTCCACCCCACTCTCTGTCCGCATTGGGTAGCCAATCATCAACGCATTTGACACATCCGTGTCACAGAGTTCAGCCTCACAGCAACCACAAGTGACCACAGTACAGCAACTTGTACACCAGGGCTATACAACCTAGAGGAAATGTTTGAACAAAAACAATTAAAGACAAGGCCTGAGGGCCGCAGATTAAAAGTCAGCCATCTTTGTCTTGGTATCATCGCTTTCTGTCCACTGGGCCAAGGGATCTCTATCTTTATGTTATTATTGTTAAGTGCCATCGAGTCGCAGGCTTGTTTTAATTGGGGAGCTCCAGCCCACATGTGTTAAGAGTTACTGTAGATAAAAGGATCAAGAGCTTTTGGACCATCTCTGTTATTGTGTACCATGAAGTCAGAACTGAGTCACAGCTGACCCTCCAGCAGATTTTCAGAGGCAGTTAATTAACACAAGAGTAAGTTGCCCATCTTTTTCCCACAGAGCAAATGAAGGATTCGAATTTTATACCTTTGGGTTGGCAGCACATCTCTTTAACTACTGAGCAACCAGAGCTCCATCTTAGAATGTCATATTGAATTTTCCTCTCTGCTAAGGAGTTAACTGTGTATATGCAAATGGGTACCCATTTCTGTTTGTATAGAATAATAAACATGGAAATACTTGCACATATTTCAGCCTGGGAAAAAGTTTTTATTTGAAGTTTGCAGTGGGCTCAAGTATATCATAGATTATGAGGATGGCACAGAGTAGGGCAGGGTTCAGTTCTGTTCATAGGATCACTATGAGTCGTATGTGACTCGACAGTACCTAACAACAGCAACCAAAGTCAAAAGCATGAACTCTGAAAGGCACATTGACATTTTGGGGGAAGATGTCCCCCTTTTGATACTCGTATTTCTCTTCTTACTCTGATACCACCCTAGTTCTTCACCCAAAGATATAACATTGTTTTTATGTACCATAAGGTCATAGCAGCCTTATGTACAATAGCTCTGAACTCTGCTCTGTCCTGAGCCAGTCTCACTGTCTCTGACACACCTGCCCCTATTACCCCAGTCACTGAGTCAATCCATCTCATCCAGAGTCTTCCTCTCCAGCTGTGTCCCTCTGCCCTTCCAAGCATGATATCCTCCAGGGACTTTTCCTTCCCAGCCACATGCTTAAAGTATGTGAGACAGAGCTTACTAAAAACCCCAAAAACCAGAACTAAAACTAACTCATTAGAGGCAAGTAATACCAACAAGGTTTCTTCTACAAAATATTTTAAGCTAAGGGGAGGATTGGAAATTGAGTGTGATGTAGGAAAGTACACTGTATTATAGATAATTATGCAAATATGTACGCGTACTGGAAACCAAAAATGTAAACACTAAAATCCTGACTTGAGTATCTCAGAAAACTCATTGCAGTCAAGTTGGGATCAACTCCTAGCTGACCCTTCAGTGGGTCTTAGGAAGTTGTAAATCGCATAGGAGGAGATTACCCATCTTTCTGCCACAGAGTAACTGGTGGGTTCAAACTGCCAGGTGGGCACATCCTTTAGTTAGCAGGTCAACTTCCTGCAGTCTTCACTCCAAGAGCTTCCTGATTGGAGCATACAATATGCTGGGAAGAGATAGATACATATTCCAGCCAACCTGGTATTTTATCTCCAATAGAAGGAACAAAAAAACGTTGTTACAGAAGTTGGGTGCCTGTCTTGGTATCAGTTACAAAACATTAAGAGACATTTTGCCTCAAACCAGGGATTTCCTTGAGCATAATAGTCTACTATTTGTTCATTTATATGTTGTAATATCACAAATAACTTTTGGCCTGCACTTCCTTTAAGTTGGTGAAAGATTTCATTTTTACTACCTGGCATACTCTTTTTATTTAAGTTTACAGTAATTTTCAAGCCCCTGCAGGTATTTTGTAGTTCTCATAGTCTATTGTTTTGTTAGTTGTCTATTAAAATTAATTTCTTCTTCATGGTTGTTATTTTTATCAAAATATTTCCTCTTCATCATTCTCGAATGGAATTTAGATTTCATTCGTCTCAACTCATTACAGTTTACTTAAGAGATAGGCAGTAATACTGTTCTGTACCATTCTTTATTAAGAATACATTTTATTTTATTATGATTTATTTTATTTATATTACATTATCGTTATATTTATTTTATTATATTATGACTCTTTTTCAAAACTTTGAACAAGCTTTTTCACCTTTTATTATTTCCATAAGATAGGTAAGATAGTTACGTGTTCTCATTTTATGGCAGAGAAATTCCTTTATGTTTCCATCCTACCCGCTTTTCTCCTGTTACATGTATTGCTGTTCACATTTGGAATCATTCTTTCCAGGGGCCAGGATCTTTCTGCCTCTCCCAACATCTGTGTATATAATCCTTCTGATCCTCTGTTCTTCATGTCTCCCTGCAGCCGTATGTGTCACTGACTCAGCAGATGGCACCACCTAGTCCAAGCAACAGTAACCCTAGCAGCAGCAGTGGGAGTAATGGAAATGAACAGCTAAGCAAAACCAACCTGTACATCCGGGGATTGCAACCAGGCACTACTGATCAAGACCTCGTTAAACTGTGTCAGCCGTAAGTTAGAGTACTTGAGGGGAGGCTTCCAAGGCACGGGACAGCTGTAGTGACACTTGCTTTTTACCATTCCTCTGACTGAAATGCAGTAGGAGTTTCTTCTGTCACATAAAGAAAGTCTCCATACTACTAATATATAAAACCTTTTTTTGTGTTTCTCTGAAGGAAACCAGGATGGGGCTGATTATTGAAATCTAGTGTCTTGAGCTTTTTTCCCCATTATGCTTCAGAACTGGTGACTTTAATGGAAGCATCTCTTTCCTTACCACTGAATAGAAATGCTCCGTTATTGTTGTTGTTATTAGGTGCTGTTGAGGAGATTATGACTCATAGCAACCCTGTGAACAATAATAGATCAGAACGTTGCTCTATCCGGCACCATCACGATCTCTGCTATGTCATTGTAGCGTTCACTGTCCATCCATCTCCTTGAGGGGCTTCCTCTTTTTCTCTGACCCTCCAACTTTTGTAGCATGGTATCTTTTTTCAAGGACTAGCCCTTCCTAACAACACACTCAAAGTGTGTGAGACAGAGATTCATAATCCTTGTCTCTAAGAAGCACCCTGATTCTACTTCCTCCAAGAAAAATTTGTTTGTGCTTTTGGCAATTCATGGGATGTTCCATCCTGTTCTCCAATACCGCAGTTCAGAGGCATTGATTCTCCTTCAGGCATCTTTATTCATTGTCCAACTTTTAGATACATTGAAACCAACTGAAAATCCTGTAGCTTGGATCAGATTCCGTTTGTCTTTAAACTGTCATTCTTGCTCTTTAGCACTTTAAAGAAGTCCTCAAACGCTTAAATATGCTCAGAACTCAGGATAGTACTGGAGGTTCTGGTTTATTATTCATAGGATTGCTACTAGTCATAGTCAACTCGACAGCACCTTCCAACAACAAATGTTCAGTATTGCTACAGATGTTTCTGAGATGGCAAGGGGACCTGGCAACAAGGGTAGATGTGAGATTAGCCGGTTGAATTATACTCTCTGGAGAATTTCTGCTGCTAGAGTGATTCCTGTTGAATCAGAGGTGGCCTCAAATTGGTAGGTAAAAAAGAAGGGGAGATAAAGTAAATAAAAAGTGGAAGAAAGAGGCTAGGACTCTGAACTTCTGGCATCTTCAGACAAGATTTAAGTCATGAAGTGGATGGTAGAATTAGCCTAGTTAATTGGATTGTTGAAAAAGTTGCAAGAGTAAAGAAATACTCTATTCAGTTTCACTGGAGGGAAAAAAGTTTGTGTTTCTTTTTTTTTTTTTTT